GAATATCTTCAGATCATCACCTATCAGTTGGATCACAGTTTACGAGCGAACTGAAGCTCCTCCTTTCGCTGACTCGATCACGTGAGCGTGATATGCAACAGGTGTTCAGATAGGCGAACACATGATCTAGTCATTGACTGATATTGAGTGATACAAACTCGTCAAGTTCTACTCGTAACCTATCACAGTGTTTTTGTAAGCTTCAGAAATGACCTCTCGATTAAGCTCTATGAAGCAAAACGATCGAGCATTCATCTAGTCAACAATACAAATTGAGGAGAAAATGTTTTACCAAACAACCACCATTAATAATTTCCAAAGAATCTTCAGATGCTTTTTTTTCAGAGAACTGAACGCAAGGTCATTGAATGATGACGGATGGTAGGGGTGAATATCTGCGTTACTATATGTTGATCAATAGATTATTTTACACTGTCATAAGTGGAACATAACAAACTCAAGTGTTTGCGTTCTCAAAATTATCCGCTCAGTTATTCTTAAATCTCGTCAACCGAGTTGAGAGCGAAAATTTCATTTGCCTTCTTCAAGGTGGTTCCACTTAGAAGCAAATTTCGATGGAAATGTCGAATGCGAAGTTGCTATGATGTGGTTTATTAACAAATATGGATGGAATAAGTGATTCCATAACGGCCCACTCTAACAATAAGTTGAACTTATTCAAGCAGACTCTGCAAAGCCGATTCAAGTTTATATGCGAAATCCAGCGGATGCGCACATGAATATGCACAATTCGAACAGCTGCAAATCTCATCAATTTGTTGTGCATCCTCAACAAAGCCTCTAATGTGAAAATTCATCTTGCGGCACAAAACCTTGATGGTTCTGATATATAATGTTGATATAAACTCGCGGTTGATTATACAAAGAGATCAATCCATCACTCGCTTGTCAAAATACACCTCAACCGCATATCCTGTGAAACAATGCACCAACATATGTGCCTCCAAAAATGGTACTCAAGAATCTCAGCAGTGCTTTACATATGACCTCTTTAAAATGAAATCTTCACGGAAGTTGACCAAAATTTCGAAAACAATTCCCAATTTTCGCAGTATTTTGTGCAAATCGTAAGTTTATTGTGAGAAGCAGAGGTTGAAAAAACGAAAAAAATGTTGATGTGCAGGGATGAGAAGAACAGCATAGTGTATTTGCGATTCATGCTAATTCATTTCGCGCTATTTCGTTGTAATTTTTCATCAACCTATAATATATTAATTTCATACAAATAATTCTGAATTCGAACACATCCAGTTTCAAATCGTAATATTTATAACTGAACAAAATAGAATACATAAAGTATAACGACATTAACACATGCACAAAGTTCACGAAATAATCAGTTAATCGAAGAAACCGTAATCAAATCGATTCTTGTAACGGAATAAAAGTGAGCAAAGAACGCAGAATAACAGGTTCGTATAAAGATTAATGAACTGATAAAATAATTCAATGAAAAGATAGTAATATATCGAAGACTCGTACCAACGGAATTGAGTACACGGAAGTAAATAAGCATTTTTCTTCGAATAACATCTATCTATACAACATTTTGATTGATTGAGTATTATGTAATCTCAAAAACCCTTACAAATAACACAGCTCTCTGGACTCACCATACAACTGATAACAATTAATCAATAACTAACAAAAAAAAGATTGGGCACCAGTATGATCGAGCCGACAAGTGGACGATCACTCCATAACGTCGATACTACCATTTTATTACAATAGGCTGCTTGATTTAGGTGTTCATGAAGCAATACAAGAAAACTTCTTGTTCTCAAATGAAGTTCGCTTGAAAACAAGACAAAAACAACGTGATAGTGTATTGTTGTACAGTACACTATGATCTGAAGGCATCCCAATGGGCTTTCAGCAATGGAACCGTTTACATAAGCTAAACGATATTTTTGAGAGCGAGAAGTCTCGATATGCAACCCAACGGCTTTTGGTATCAAAGCATGGGATGTAAAGAGCGTGGAGTTGAATCACCGAGGACATGACCCGTTATAGAATAATCAGTCATCTCAGAAGAGTCTTAATCGACACCAGATATGCAGTACAATATCGCTTTCGATAGGAGACAACAATTAAGCAATCAATATTTTGAAAGCATTGATCACGGTTTCCAAAAAACGACGTTAAAACGTCGAACAAAAGAATGAATGCCACAAAGAGATGAAGAGAATGCAAGAAACATTGAATGCACAATGCACAGTAATTAAGGTTTCAGAAGGTACTTTCAATGTACAAAATGCGCAACGTAACAACAATAATGACGATCACAATAACAATAAAAACGTCACTGCTAATAAAAATGAACAACGAACGCGCGGTTAAAACATTGAATACTGGACAATAAAAGTATGCTAAAACTGATTAAAAAACAAATAACGATAATAACTGAAGCAACA